CTGCGCCACCAGGGAGGGCCCAAGGCTGAAATATATTTTCACAGTAAATATGGTTTTCGCTTCCTGTTAAAAATATCTATTGAATGAGAAAAGTAGTCGATTAATATAAAATACCCCCCCCAATGCATATAAATTTTTTTTTAGTGACTCACTAAAATAATACGATGATAGACTGGTTCTGACATTTGGTTCTGTTATATATTAAACTCTCTTCACTCTCAAAATTATCTACTTATTCAAAAATGCAGAGTATTTGAGATACAGAGTTTTTATCATGAGTGTTGAATCTTATCAATGCTTTTTACCATCTATTGATAGTAACATATGATTTTTATCTTTTGTCAATAGATTGGATTACATTTTTTGATTTATGTTTATTAAACCATCCTTGCATCTCTTGGATCCACTTGTTTATGGTGCATAATACTTGTGATATACAATTGGATTTGATTGTCTTATATTTGGTTGAAAAGTTTTATATCAGCGTTCAGCAAGGATATCAGTCTATAATTTTCTTATGCTATCTTTTCCTGGTTACAATATTGTTAGCATCATAAAATGTGTTAGGGAGGATTTTTTTTTTGTATTAAAAACAATTTGAACAAAGTAGGCATTAGCTTGTTAAAGATTTGATAAAACTTATTTATCAGAAAATCATCCCTTTGGAAGATTTTTTATTACTATTTCAACTTTTACATTTGTAATAGGTTTGTTCTATTTATTCCTGGTAAATTATATTGATCTAGAAATATATCTGTTTTTTCAAAGTTATTGAATTTATTGGCCTATAATCATAGTAATCTTTTATAATCTCTGAATGACCTTTTGCAAATAGTATTACTCAGTCTTTATTATACCAATAATCTCAGCAATCAGTGATATTACAGTATTTCCTCTCCATATTTTTTCAATCTTTACATACAGGAAGCTTTGGCTCAAGCATTTTGGATTGACATCAAGCGCATGGATAACCCAGAGTGTTACTTTAATTCTTTGCCAAAAGAGTTAGAAGTAAAAAGAGATCGGATGGTACATTTACTTGAAAGTGTTGGCCTAAAGCCCATAGTTCCTGATGGAGGATACTTCATCATTGCTGATGTGTCTTCACTAGGTTCGTAAAGGTTTTTATTATTTCAAATATACAGAAACCAAAGTATGAAATTATAGCAGAATTGAGGAAAGATTGGTGTCAAAACATCTGTAGAATGTTGATTTTCACAGTATCAGTATTTTTCTGAAATTATTTTGACTTAGGTTTTATCCTTAAATGTGATTATTATATGGTTATGGAGTCAGCTTGGCTCTAGATATTTTATTAAACAGGATTTGCTGCTGTCTTGTTCTGTTGTATATTTAAACCACAAAAACATGAAATGATGTATATATCTTGTGTTCCTATAAACTTTTAGTTGCCTTAAACTTAAGAAAAATACTGTTGTCTGGAATACTGAGTACCATCAAGGAATATTCGTCATTTAGAATATACTGAAATGAAGGACAGTAAGTATACTGAGAGTTTATTACATGCCAAGCACTCTTTCAAAGAGAGCATTGTTAACTGCATTTTTAAAGCCATGAATACTTACAAAATTTTAAATAACATGCCTCAAGTCGCATAGCTACATTGCAAATTGTTCTGCCTCCAGAAAACAGTGTTGCTATATGTAACTCTGACATGCTACATAAAGCTGTAAGTTAGAAGCACAATAATGTTTTTTGTTTTTTTGATTTTTTTTTAAGATTTATTTATTTATGCATACAGAACTGGGGTACAGGCCGAAAGTGCAGGGGCAGTGAGAGGTTTCATCCAAGACAGAGTGGGGAGTAGAACAGGCAGATTGATGAAGTACACTGCTGAGGGGAGCAGTGTGGGTCAGGAGAGATCTGCCAGCCATGTGGGTCTCCTCCAGGGCAGGGATCGAACTCATGCTGAAGTGACTTTAGCTTCTTAGTGCTGTGCTTTAACCCGCTGCACCACCAGGGAGGGCCCACGATAATGTTCTATATATTGCTTATTTTTTCCAAAATATATAATGTTAATAATAATAAATTTAAAAACCTAATTTATTCTAAGTAGTTTTAAATATTTTAAGATATTATGATAATGAAGTTCTTCATCACTGAACTTGAAATGTCTTTTCATGTATACCACATTTTGTAAAGAAAATTCTGACCTTATAGCAAAACAGTGATTGTTATTTACTCACTTGTAAGGGGAGCAGAGGTCATGATGAACAGATTCTTGCAGTTCTTTTACCAAAGAGCTTTATTTGTCAAGCTTCCAAGTCCCATTCTTAGATAAAAGCCCTTATGGGGTTCTAGAGTGTAAGATTTGAAAATCATTTTTCTATATTGTATCCAAATGTATAGCTTATTTCATGAAGTGATAAAATGATAAAAAGATCATTTATGGTTTCTGGGTTGTAAATTTAACTCATTAAAAGTCTTCTGTGCAATAAAATACAAAGTGATATGTGTTTATATTTTGGAAAGCAAATATCACATAGGAGGATGAGGAAGCAAATATTGCAGTCACCTAAGTTCATGTAGTGTTATATAATTAGCATTAACTGAAGCCCAGACTTCAAGGCAGCAAAGGCAAATAAAATGGAATTAGTTACATAGTTTATGGATAAAGGGAAACTTAAGAGTTTTTTTAGATAAGAGTAATTTTTTTCTGAAGTCTTTCTGAATTCTAAAAGGAATTCATCACATAGTGACTTCAAATGTAAAAAGTACAGTTATGCAGTTTTGTTTGAATTGTTGCCTTAAACTCTTAAAATAGTTTCCCATTATATCCTTAATTGAATCCATTTTGCATATAGCTTTAACTAGTATAATTGTAATAAGAACAGGAAGGATTATAATTAGAAAACTTTTTCTGATTATGGGGTTGGGGTTAGAGTCCCTTCTTCATGGTCCTCCTTTACCTACTGGGTAGGGGATGAAATGCTAAATATAAGACTCTCCTACATGTGTATATGTGAAGACAAGTTTGTTTTACCTTATTTGCTCATCTGTTCAGATTAATATGTGGAAATTCTTCCACATACTGGAGGTTGATTCTACCATTTCTAAAGACAAAAGCAGTAAACATTCATTGGATGACTGAAAATAAAAATAATTCATGACCATAGTAATTACTTCCCTTTAAAATTCATAGTGGTTACTAACTGGTTAATGTTCATTTATGATTTAGTAGGTATTACATTTAGGATTTTACAAATATCACAGTCTCGCACACAAAAAAATCTCATTATGAGTTTGGTGCTATTATATCTCCAATGATTGATAAAAAAGATTAGAAGATTGAGAAATTCATTGAAGTTAATCAGCTAATAACTAGCAAAACTGGGCTCTGGACTCAGAGATCCATGTGAACTTATAGTTTTTCTGCTGTGCTAAGAAGATATTATTCAGACCAATAAACTTCATGGTAAAACTAAAAAGGATAATATTTGATTAGAAGATAAGATGAGAAATAAGGAAATTATTACAGCTATTCTAGTGAGGTGATAAGATCCAAAATTATTGAGGAGATAGAGGGAAATCACCAACCAGCTTTGATTTTCATAGATTGCTTTGACATTCCAATTCCACTATACTCTGCCTCAGGCTCTTACTGTTAATAAAGGAATATTTGTAATTCCTTTGAGGATTCCAAAGACCCAGACATTCCAAAGAAATAAATTTCTACTTTCATCTAACTGTAAAAACTTTAGCATTATATTCATTTTGTTCTTTCCTTTTGTACACCATGGCAATGAATCCCTCTTTTCTAAGTTTTCAAGAATAAATGCCAATTACACTTAGTATCCACCTGTTCTTCTTACTCCTTAAGTACTCACTCCTTCTGTGGATTATTTGTGCCTTGAATACAGTGCTATTGCTTGTCACTTGGAGTTTTTGTATAATTTATGATTAAATTACTCTTAAAAGTTGTTATTTTTGTTAGAGTCAAACTTGAAATTATACACATATACATATACACATATACATACATATAACTTGAATAATAATTTAACTGTCTCATCTATAGAATGGAGATTATAAAGAGCAAGTGTTCAATAAATGGTAGTGTATTATTAGCATTATTGCATAGAGATTTTACATTCTTTTTTTTTAAAAAAGATTTATTTTTGCCTACAAAACCTGAGGTGTGAGCCCGAGGTGCTAAGGGGTGAGATGATTCACCAGAGACACTGTGGGGAGCAAAACAGGTGGGCCCACTGAAATGCACTGCTGAGGAAAGCAGGAGAGGTCTGCTGTGCCTTGTGGGTCAGCTCCCTGGCTGGGATTGAAGGTGTGCTGCTGTGGCTGGAGATAGCTTCAGAGTGCTGAGACTTAACCCCTTGTGCCACCAGGGAGGCCCAGAGATTTTATGTTCTCACAGCAATGTGGAGGAAATTAAATCATAAGCGAAGATATATTAAGACTTAAAAAAATATAGATGAAATGTTCGTCAGTGCCAAGTTTTTAATTTGAAGAGACCCAGTAGTATTTGGTGAATAAAATAAAGAAGTTATCTACTTCAATTTATTTTGAGCAACAAATTAGAGGATTTCACTGATTACTGTAATAATTAATGCTTAGGGGTATTCAAAAAGACCTAAGAGAACAAGACCATAAAATGAAAATAATATGAAGTATGGCTTACTGAAATTGCAAACCAAAGAAATATCTTACATAGCTCTTACAGCAAGACTGGAGCAAGAGATAACAAAGGAATTTGTATTGAGGTTTTTCCCAAATATAAAAAAAAAATTTGTACACATGTGTGTGAAAGGAAGAAGAATACAATAAGGATATCACTTGGAAGACCTATACATTTTCCCTTTAGAAATAATAAGTAGTATTAACTTATTCACTCAGAAAATGTACTTTTCACTATTTGTATGCTAGAAGATGCCTAAAAGTTGGGGGTAATGATAAGTTCAAGTTCACTTACCTAATGCACTTACAAGTTCTAATGCACTTTTCACTACTTATATGCTAGAAGATGCCTTAAAGTTGGGGATAATGATAAGTTGTAATGTTCTTGTGGAGCTTAGAATCTAATAATGAGTGATGATTTGTAGATATAATTAGTACAGATGACCACCCTGCAAGTTTAGGTGTTACTTCCTTAATGATGACCAGGAAGTGTTACATTATTTCTAAATGGAAAGGCAACACGTCTTTCTGTCCTCTTTTCTATCTTTCTGATCAAAGATCTGTATGAATGCTAATGATCATACAGCTGTGAGTAGCGCCTTCATGTATCAGCAAAGTTGGCGGTGAACTCCCTGTTTTCCACCTACCCTGCAGCAGGAAGCACCATGAATTCTTTGAATATCTTCTGAGAAAATGTTGAATGTTGACAGACTTCAATGAAATACATGTTGTGTCAGAGCTAATGCTTCAACCATTACATCTTCTTTATTGTTCAGATGCAGACCTCTCTGATATGATGGACAATGAACCTTATGACTATAAATTTGTAAAATGGATGACTAAAAATAAGGTAATGTTTATTGGACTTTGCAATATCATGTTTATTTTATATTTAGTTTATGATGGAAATCCACTAAGATGCTTTGAACAATGTTAACTATAGTTTTGTTACATGATATTCCACCCATGCCTACTTGGAGTATTTAAAGACATTTTTATTTTTTGAAATATTTAGATATTTAATGTTTCTAGTCTTACTATTAATGTTCATGGTGAGTAGTTTTCCTATTAATTTTTCAGAAATTGTCAGCCATCCCGGTTTCAGCATTTTGTAACTCGGAGACCAAGTCACAGTTTGAGAAGTTTGTGCGATTTTGCTTCATTAAAGTAAGTTTTCTATTCTACTTAAAAATACATATACAATGTTCTTCCTTCTGATTATAAAGTACCTTTTTTCCTCTACTGCTAAACATGATGTGTTCACCTGCAGTTTTTAAATTTGGGTTGCCTGCCAGAACAAAACACAAAGCTGTTTGAAGGAATTAGCAGGCAAGGATATTAGAACAGATATAAATTATAAGTATGTTGAAGAAATTAAGGGAAAGTATGGTCTTAGTGAATAGCAGAAGGATTAAAGCTATGAAAAAAGAATCAAGTGGAAATTCAAGAACTGAAAAGTATATCTAATATGAAAATGTGTGGAGTATAACACACGGGATGGTGGATATCACTAAAAAAAGGTTCATAGAGTTCATAAAAGTTATCCAGTCTGGAAAAAGAGAAAGATCATTTTTTTTTTAAATAGATTCTTAGATCTATGAAACTATCAAGTGATGGTATAGTGTAGTTGAGAGAGCTAAGCTTAGATCTCGAAATTTTGAGGTTTAAAAGTTCAGTGAACTACAACAGGATGATTTTTTTTTTTAAGATTTATTTATTTGTGCATACAGAACAGGGTACAGGCCAGAGGCTCAGGGGCGGCGAGAGACTTCACCAGAAACAAAGTGGGGAGCAGAACAGGCAGATGGACGAAGTACACTGCTGAGGGGAGCAGTGGGCGGGTCAGGAGAGGTCTGCCACACCATGTGGTCACCTCCGGGGCAGGCGGGAATCCAACTCATGCGGAAGTGGCTTAAGCTTCTTAGTGCAGTGCTTTAACCCGCTGCGCCACCAGGGAGGGCCCCAGGATAAATATTTTTAAAGAGCGTACCTAGGTACATCATAATCAAGTTGCTGAAAACCAAAGGTAATGATGAGATCTTGAAAGCAGCCAAAGAAAAGAAACAGGTACAAATGTTAACCAACTTCTATCAAAGCTAATAGAGACCAGAATACAGTAAACCATCTTTGAGTCTAAAATATATCATCACACATGCCCCAATAAATGAGGAGACATTGCCAAATAGAGTGAAGGTACTTGTAGAGGGAGGAAACCTAGAAAGCTTCTATTTGTACATGTTTTACAGACACAGCAGGCACACCCTGCCCATTATCCAGAACAGTAGAATAGTAGATGCATAGACAGTGGGGCCCATGTCGAAGAGGCAGGTGGAGAGAGAACCCACTTGAAGCAGGGTGGAAAGGAGGTTCTGGTTCGGCTGTAGATCTGTGTATAGATGACTCACCCCATCACTTTTGCTAAAAGCTGTGTTGACGCATGTGGTGAAGATTTATTAAATTGGGAGTAGCCAGTTAAATTAATTGGGAAGAAATAAAGTTGAAAGGACTTCCCTCACTGATTTCTGCATTAATTTATTAAATTTTATCTATAAGCCAGGGAGAATGTCTGCTCTATTCCAGTGTTACCCTGACTCCTCACAAAAATATACACACATTTTCGTCTTTGTCTCATAGACAAGCCAGCAGGCAATGTGCTCTGCATCCAGAACACCAGGAACAGAGGGTACACTAGTAAAGTGTTTACAAAGAGAATTTAGTAAAAACATGAGTAATGAAAAAGGAGCCAGCAATGAATCTTTAAAGGTGGTATACTATAAAGGGGGAAGGAACAATGAGTATAAGTCATTTAGAAAAACTGTTACCATGGAGCAAAATTAAAATTGTGTTATTTCAAATTCAAAACTTTTAAAAATAGAGATTTTCAGACTTCACGGAAGACAAAAAGAAAATAATGCAAGAAGGTAAAATGGTAGCTGTCAGAGACCAAAGGAAAAATTCAAAGGGGAAAAAGTAAAGCTGTTGGTGACATTTCAAACAGTGCAGAAAACATTGTAAGCATCTTAAGGCCTGAGAAAAGTGCACAAAAAAAAAAAGTTGAAAAAAATATTAAAGATTAAAACTTATGATGTAAAAAACTAATGAAATATGTAGAACCTCTGAGGGAAACAAAAAGCAGAATGCATGAAACTAGGAAAGAATTTTATAGCTTTATTTTGAAAATGCTTTCCGGGGGAAAACACCAACAAATCTGAATTGAAAGGAAATGTCTTGTCTAAGGAAAAATTGTCACAGAATGATTAATACTATAAGCACCTTAGTACAGTGTACATTAAAGATTTAAAGGTATGAAAATGGTCCTTTGAGCATCTAGAGAAAAAGATGAAGATCACTCTCATTTATATGAAGATCCAAAGACCACAATTTTCATTTTGCTCATGAGGCACGAGATGTGGGTCCACATGAAGTCCCTTCCCTTGCATCAGCATTTAATAATAGAACATAGTGAAATAGTACCACGAAGAGAACTACAGAATGTTGATACAGCTAACTCAGATGGGCAGAAATAAAAATAAAAGCATAGCACATGTTTGCAAAGAAAATACTGGGGAAAAAACAGGTTGCATTTAGGGCAAAATAAGCCAAAAAGCAGCATTTACAATGGCTGTGGATAAAATCCCTAGTGGTTGCCAAATATTTGAAAGGTTTCTCTCCCTCATTTATGATAAGAGAAATGAAAATTGAAACTGCAGTGAAATCTTACTTTGCTATTAGATTGGAAACAATCCAAACAACTAAAATGTTCTACAAAACACTCATAGACTGAGGATGGAGTGTTCAGTATGTATTTTGTAAGACCTATACAGTGGTTAGTTTGAAAATTCCCATTTAAATGCAAATGCACACACCCTTTGACCCAGCAATTCTACTGCTAGAATTTTCTCCAGTGGCTCTATTTACACATCTTGAATGACTAGTATTCTAGAATTTTCAGTGTAGCACTCTTTATAAGAATAAAGGACTATAAAAAACTAAAATATTCATCAATGGAGTCTACCTGAATAGATTATGGTGCATTCATATTATAAAATAAAACAGCTCTCCACATTTTATTTGAGTGATAAGAGTATAAGCTAAATGCAATAGGAACAGTTTGTATAACATACTCTCAGAAAAAGGGAAATGAAGACAGGAAAGATAGAGGATACTTACACACATTTTAATGTATACACACAGATCTTAGATGGATAATACGTGTTATTAAATGCCTAGAAAGTCTCTGCAGAAATATATGATAAAATCCCAGTGTCGCCTCTGGAAGGAGATCTGAGTGGCTTAAGGAGAGAATGTGGGAGGCTGGCTTACTTCTAAAAAAAAATATTCTTAGTTAACTCTCCACATATAAGTTTCAAGAACTTTTTTTTTCCCCTGAACTATTTCAGAGTAAATTGCTGACACTGCATTTCATTAGCCCCACTGGCCTAACAATATGCCAACCTGCTGCCGTCCTCCCCACCACAGAGATCCCCTCCACCAGGCCCCCATTGTTTGAAACCTTCCTCATGTCATTTGAGCTGTAACAGCCTGCACCAGGCTGCCAAAGTTCCCCTGTCCCCATAATTAGATAACTTCTTCACTGAAACCTACCGAATCCTTTTTGAAGTAAGTCATTCCGGTACAGAGAAACAAAAGAAGTAGAAGCAGAACAGGAGGCTAGATTTTCACTATTTACCTATCACTATAATTTTGCACTATTTTGCATGTATTACCTGTTCAAAAAATAAGTGCATTTTATCCATAATTATAACAAACTGATTAGAGGGCAGAGTATGTGTGAACTAATTTTCCCTCATTTAGAGTGGGAAATAGCAAATACTATCTAAAGTGTAGAGGGCCTCCCTGTGACCAGGTGCAGAGGGTTAAAGTACAGCAATATGAAAGTATCTTCAGCCACTGCAGCACAAAGTTGGATCCCCAGCCAGGGAAGTGACCCACATGGCACAGCAGTCCTCTCCTGTCCCACCCTCTGCACCCCTCAGCAGTGTATTGCAGTCAATATACGTGTTCTGTTCCCCACTCTTTCTCTAGTGAATACTGTCATCCCCCCCTGCACCTCTGGCCAGTTTTGTATGCATAAATAAATCTTTAAAAAAATTTTTTTGAATGTATGAAAACATATATTACTTCACTCTTGCTTGTAACAACTAGAACTCAACCTAGAAACTGCCATAATAGGTGGGTATGGGGGGGCTATCCCAAGAAATAAATAGGAAGTACAGAGAGGAGGAGCTCTTCTGTACTCTTTGACTTGTTTCTGTAGTTAATATTAATTTGGTGTTTTCCTTTTTGGGATCTGCCTTTGTACTTTACTTTGACAATCTTTCACTTGAGATCAGAAAGTCACTTAAATCGTCACTTATTTCTATTTTTTTTAAAGATTTATTTATTTATGCATACAGAATTGGGGTACAGGCCAGAGGCTCAGGGATGGTGAGAGGATTCACCAGAGACAGAGTGGGGAGCAGAACAGGAAGATCTACAAGTACACTGCTGAGGGGAGCAGCGCGTTGGTCAGGAGAGGTCTGCCATGCCATGTGGGTCACCTCCAGGGCCTGTGGGGTTCGGGCTCATGCGGAAGTGGCTTTAGCTTCTTAGTGCTGTGCTTTAACCCACTGCACCACCAGGGAGGGCCTTATTTCTATTTTTTTTAATATTTCGTGTTTAAGTCTTTACTTCATCTTGAATTTATTTTGATATATAATAATGGTTATTTTATTTATTTACAGAAAGACAGCACACTGGATGCTGCTGAAGAAATCATAAAGGCATGGAGCAGGCAGAAGTCTTGATACAAGCAGATTAGGACAGTTTCTTTTAGATGACCTGGTATAGAATTGTTATTTAGTGCTGCCACCTACTGGATATTCAAAAACTAACACCGGTACAAGCTAAAATTTAAATAGCCATTATTTTTCCAAAGAAGTTAAGCTCCAAAATCAGGGGATCTGATTTTTGCAAATGTGAATCACTATAGTATCATGGATAAGAAAAGATGCTGATTGATATGTACTCTCTCTCTGCTTCTATTTTTCTCATAAAGGGGGAATAAAACAGAACCCACTTTGTATGAAATTTTTGAGTTGCTGTATGTAATGATGAAAAGTGATATGCGGATCTTTCAAACAATAAACATTCAACTGATGTTACCCAGTTTCACTTCTTTGCCACCGTGTACAACCTCTTAACCAATTATATCCCTCGCAACTCCGTATTTTGCTTTGGGTACCTACCTTCCCTTCCTTTACCTTTGTCTTTGAACTTTGCTCGCAGTTTGCCACCTTTCCCAAGTACACCATCATATGGAATGACTTCAAGGTCCGTGTGGACTTCCTAGACTTCTAGTACTTTGTCCCCCTCACCTTTGGTGAGATACCTCCATTTCTGTTCTCCACTTCAACCGCCCACTTCCTTGAGCACACATTGAACCTTTCATCATTCAAGGCTGTTCTACCTTTGAGGTAATAAATTAGTCATCTCTCCCTCTTCTCTCTTTCTCTTTCTGTCTCTCTCCCCCCCTCAAAATATCATTTCTTTAAACTAAATTCACTATAATTCACTAACAGATTCACTATATGCACTATATTCCACTTCATTCAGTATCACCCTGGGTTGTTTTGTTTTTTTTCTCATCAATGTTGTAATAAAACAACAATTATTCAAGAACATGCTATTCTTTCAAAGAATAAGCTGGTGTTCTCAGTAGGTGGAGAGTTTATAACAGATTCACAACAGGCTCCATCACCAAGATCAGAATCACCTTCGATCCCTGTTGAAATGGATTCTGAGGCTTCACCCCAACCCAGCTGAATAATAAATTCTGGATCTGACCCTTGCCAGGCGATTTGTGACACCCTCTGAAGTTGCATGACACTGCTGTAATCCATAAAAGCCTGTGCTTCGTTCCTGGTATCTGCACACCCTCACACAGCGTAGACTTCATCCTCTGGCCTTCCAACCAAGATACTTGTGATGCCTTGAAAACTTGTTTACCATCTATTTCACTTACTGGGTCAAAAGAAAAAAAAAGGAAAAAATAATTTCAGTCCTGGGATAGAAAGTTCATGCTTACACAGCTAAGTAGTGTAGCAAAATACATGATTGGGTTGATGCTAGCCAGCATCGAGTACAAGTCATAAACCTTAACTAGACAATTATTCTGTAGTTCCTGAATCAGATTTTTATACATTTTACCACAGGCACAATTCTTAATATTCTCCCATTCTCCATAATAAAAGTATCAACCTCCTTACCTTAAAGTCCATCACCACCAACACAATTCAACATAGCACATGACCTCATCTTCCATTTACTTCTGTGAAGAATGAAACAAATGAAAAAGGCAGCTACTTCCAAAGGGAATCCTACCAATAAGCCCATGACTTGTGTATCAGCATTCATCCTGTCTTCATTAATACAACACAAAAGCATGCAACAATTAAAAAAAATTAACAATCTATAGCTATATGCAGCAACATGAGTGAATTTCATTAACATTTTCCACAAGTTTTCCCAGCAATACAGAAAACCCTCACTTCATATTGACAGGATCATAGAACCTGTGAATTTAAGTGAAATAATGTGTAACAAAAGCAGGTCCTCGAGGCCATTTCATTCAATATCACCCTGGGTTGTTTTTTTTTTTCTCATCAATGTTGTAATAAAACAACATTTATTCAAGAACATGCTATTCTTTTAAAGAATAAACTCGTGTTCTCAGTAGGTGGAGAGTTCTTAACATTAGAATCTGGAGCCTGAGTGCCCACTCCACCTTGAAAGTTGGAGAATTTCCATCCCCTCTGGAATGCCCATTTTGTTTCCACATAGTGATCTAGCTTTAGGATGGTCCATGGGAAGATCCTCATCTGGGTGATTCAAGGAATCACTTGGCTAGGATGAGTAGAATTGACTTGGGGAGGAGCAAAGGAAACATTTTAAATATCTGGTCTCTATGTGAATAGTGCAATATTGGACCAAAGAGAATTTTTAAGTCTGATCTGTCAATCTTGGGATTTTAGATGCTAAGTTCAAACCTGAGTTTCCAAATGCTTAACTGTAGGCATAACCAGTTCTAACTGGCTAAAGACATCTAATTGCTAAAGTGAGAAAAGATTCAGTAGGGCCGGTAAGAACCTGGCTGACAGGTCCTGACCTTGGCTCATGAACCTAACTCATACTATCTCTTTTTCTTAGACTGGTTCCCTAAAGACCACTTGTACTCCTGCTCAAATTGGCCCTTACATTTTTTTTAATTAAAAAAAAATTGTAAAGCTTATTTATGCATATGGAACTGGGGTGCAGGCCAGAGGTGCAGGGGTAGTGTGAGGATTCACCAGAGACAGAGTAGGGAGCAGAACAGGCAGACTGACAAAGTACACTGCTGAGGGGAGCAGTGGGCCGATCTGCTGCGCCATGTGGATCACCCCCTGGGTGGGCTCAAACTCATGCTTTAGCTTCTTAGTGCTGTGCTTTAACCCGCTATGCCACCAGGGAGGGCCCCTTTGCTATGAGAGTACATGCCTCACATTCTCTTATTGAGGGGACCCCCAAGTTCCTGAATTTCTTGGATCTTCTAAAGGATCAGTATGGTTGAGAATAGACTGCAGGGGCAGCAATTACAATAATTCAGATCAAAGGTCACAGTGATGAAAGTGAAAGGATAAGAAATGGCCTTCAACAAACACACCAAGGCCTCTGAGTTTAGAGGGAGAAGTGGGAAGGGACAAGGGGAAATACGGGATGGGAAAAGGAAAGTGTACATATATCCTTGTAGTTGGAGACAATATTCTAGCTATAACCAACTACTGATCACCTATGGAATAACTATTATGAATTGTACAGAACCTTTTTAATTTTTGTGTTACTTCTTAAAGGTTGAACAATTCTTCAAAGATAAAAATATCCGGGTGCAGAGGAAAATTGTTTTAATTAAAAGAAATTTTGATATATTTGCAGGGAAAGTCAACAGGGCTTGCTAACAGAGCTTATAAGAGGCATGGAGGTAAAATAGGAATCAAGGGCCCTCCCTGGTGGCACACCCGGTTAAAGCACAGCACCATGAAGCTGTCTACTTCCACTATAGCCTGAGTTTGATCCCCAGCCAGAGAGTGAATTCATATAAGGCACAGCAGACCTCTCCTGTCTTCCCACTGTTCTCCTCAGCAGCGGATTTCAGTAGATCCACCTGTTCTACTCCTCACTCTGTTCCTGGTGAATCCTCTCACCCCTCACCTCTGACCTGCACCCCAGCTCTTGTATACATAAATAAATAAATCTTAAAAAAAAAAATTTCTAAAAAAAATAGGAATCAAGAATGAGTCCAATTTTTGTCCTGGCCAGCTGGAAGGATTGAGTAACACCTCTGAAATCCAGAAAGTACCAGAAGCAGCAGGCATGGGGAAAAATCAGGAAGTCAGTTTTGAATACATTAAATTTGAGATGCCCATTCAGTTTTCATGTGCATATATTAGGTAGGCAGCTGAACAGTTAAGCATGGAGGATAGAGATGTGAGAAAGACACATTTGCAAGTCTGAGGCACATTGATATTTTAAAGATGTGAGTCTTGATAAGAGCACCAGATATGTCAATATTAGCAACAAGAAGACTGATGACTTAGCTGCGGATGTCTGAGAAAATTCAATGCCAAGTGGATTAACTTCAAAAAGTTTTCCTTATTTGGTGACTCCACTTTCACACACAGAGACACTCCCACTTAACCCCAGTCCTCTGCTCTGACTTCCACACCCATTATTGTTCTGAATTCTCTAATGACTTCACATCCCTACATTTAAAGGAAACTTCCCCATTCCATCTGACTTCACCTCTTAGTATTTGCCACTGCAGACCACACTAGGCTACTTAAATGCGACCTTTACTTGGTCGTGTTCCTCTGTTGCTGCCCATGTGGGAGATGCCTCCCGCCTCTCTGACTGGTCCTTCTGTGCCTATTCCTTACATATTGGGTTTTTGTCTTCTTACTAAATAACTTCACTCTTTATACACTAAATCGATCTCCAGCGTAGTCCTTTTTCTGTTGTATTCCAGACACATACCCAACACCCCAGTTTTTATCTCATGTGAACATTTCACAGGCCAGTCCTCTCCAATCTGGTCTCCTTACCTCTGTGAATGGTGCTACTAATCCAGTGCTCAAATCACAAAACCTAGAAGTTATTCTTAACTTTTTTTCCTCACCCAAGTCCTTTACTATTCTCTGTCCCAACTGCTATCACTCTGTTTAACAGCTGATTTCATTTCTTACCTAGATAACTAGTCTATTTCCTAAAAGTTCTCTCTACCTTACTCCTTGCTGTCCATTACCCTTATAAACTAAATGAACTTTGTAAAATGCAAATGTGACTGTATTCCATATATTAGTTAAGACTATTCATGGTATAATTTACAGAAAACTTAATCCAGATGTGTATAAATTTTTTTAAGATTTATTTATTTATTCATACCGAACTGGGGTACAGGCCAGAGGTGCGGAGGGTGAGAAGATTCACCAGGGGTAGAGTGAGGAGCAGAACAGGCAGATTGACGAAGTACACTGCTGAGGGGAGCAGCAGGCGGGTCAGGAGAGGTCTGCCACATCATGTGGTCACTTCCGGGGCAGGCGGGTATTGAACTCATGCGGAAGTGGCTTAAGCTTCTTAGTGCAGTGCTTTAACCCGCTGCACCACCAGGGAGGGTCGTGTATAAATTTTTTAAGATTTATTTTATGTATTTATGCATGCAAGAGTTGGGGTGTAGGACAGAGACTTGGGGTTGGGATGTAGAGAGGCTTAATCAGAGGCAGAGTGGGGAGCAGAACAGGCAGATCGATGAAGTACATTGCTGAGGAGCAGCGGGAAGGTCAGGAGAAGTCTGCTGTGCCATATGTGGGTAGGCTTCCTGACTGGGGATCCAACTCGTGCTGCAGTGGTTGCCAAAAGCTTCATGGTGCTGAGACTTAACCCATGAGACACCATGGAGGCCCCAAGATGGGCTTAAATTTCTTAAAGGAATTTTCTGTCTCAACTGAACATTTTAGAAATTTCTATGGTTTCAGTTTCAGCTTGATGCAGAGCTTAGATTTAATTTGTCACCATGTCTGTCTCATAGTTTGTCCTCTCTCGGTTGGCTTTATCTGCAGATTGCCCTTC